GGGGGAGGGGGAGGGGAAGGGGACGGGGAGGGGTCTCCCCGGCCTGGCCCTTTAAAAGAGGCAGCCACGCGCCCCCGCAGCACCGCTCCCCGGACGGCGGGTCCCCACCGCCCCTTCCCCTCGAAAGCTTACCTCCTGCTGATGAGGACAACCTAACTGCAGCCCAGGTCGCCCCTTGTGCGACGCAGAGGACAGAATCCGAGGGCGCCCCCACCCCCACCCCCACCCCAGTTCGGCGTCCTTCAAACGCGGGGGCAGGCGCGGGGCTGGCTCGACGCCCCTCTCGGAGCCGTCGGCTGGGGAGGGCCGCGCCGCCCCAGGCCGGACGGGGCCGCAGGGGCCGCTTACCGCCCGAGACGCTCGTGCCAACCGAGCCGCCCCTCTGCACGGAGGCCCGCCTTTCGCCCAGCCTCTCACCTGTTCCGCGCGCAGCTCCGCCGCGGCTCCCACCGCCTCCGCCCCCGCAAGCTCCGCTGGCCTCTCTCTCCGCTCGCCTGCTCCCCAAGCCGACTTCCCCGCGGCTGCTCCCCGGCCCGCTCCCCGGCTCCCTCCTTCCTTTCCTCCACCTAGCACCGGAAGCCGCGACGGCGACAGGAGCTGTGCGACGCGCCCCCACCCCCAGCCCTGGATACTTCCCACCTCCACGATCGCGCGAGAGTTGCGCCGAAGCTAACAGCAGTTCTCGCGAGACCCATCACCATGGCAGCAGCTGCAGCAAAAGCCGAGGAGCGCTGACGCTCAGGTCCGGGTGGGGGCTGGGGAGGTGCGAGGGCTGAGGGTTGCGGGCGGCAGAAGTGGGACCCCGGGGCCGAGAAATGGGGGTGGGATGGCAGGGCCTGAGCTGAGACACTTAAGCCCCAGGACCACACCTACAATTTAAGGACTGAAGTCGCTTGCTGGAAACCAGCATTTTAAGCCAAGGGGACCGGAGACCCGTGGAATGAGCGTCTTTGGTCGTGGCGTGCCTTAATTCTTATTAATCTGCTACACCTCCATTGGAGGGTCTCCTCCTTCCTGAATGTGAGAAGTCTCTGAGCAGGATGTTTTTTTTATTTTCCTTCGCACCCTCCAATTGTAGAAGCATTCTAAGAAGCCATTGTTGCTACTCACTGAAACTGAGCTACATGCAGAGCCTTTCCCATCAGGAAGAGAAGGGAAAGTGATGAAAAGGCTGAAGGAAACGACTGAGCATGACAGGCAGCGGTCGAAGCCTCACGTTCAGAGCTGTGGTCTGGGGAAGTGTCGAGATGAATACGGATTTCAGCATCCCAAGGAGGAGGCAAGGGCTGTGCGCGCACCTGTGCACCTCCTTCCTACCTGCCGATCCTGCTTCCACCACACTCGTTTTTGCACCTGGGGGCATAGGCAAAGCTCCTCGGAGCAGTCACGGCTGTGATAAAAGCTGTGCTGGAAGGACGTTAGAAATTGGCTAACTAAGCTTGAGCCAAAATCGCTACTCTTCTGAATTCTTTGCCTCGTTTTCTGCTTCCTTCTAAGGAGACCTAGGTTGGCAGAGCCCCACACTCATTGTCTCCATCACCTCATACTCTGTGCCCTTACCAGACCCTGCCTCTTATCCCAGTCGGTTTTCTCTCTTGTGTTCATTTGAAGAATAACATGACTTAGAATAGAAAGTCAAGGGCCTGGGAGATAGTTCAGTGACATAAACACCTGCCTGGCAAGCACAAGACCCTGAGTCCTATCCTGATACCGCCAAAAAAAGAAAAAGTCAAGAAGGAGGGACTGGGGGGATAGCTCAGTGGAATAAGCACTTGCCTGGCCAGCGCAAGGGCCAGAGTTGAATCCCCAGCTCTGAAAAAAAAAAGAAAAAAGAAAGAAAAGAAAGTCAAGAGGACCCTAATTGAAGATAGTGAGGGATGAGATGGATTAAAAAAAAAAAAAGCAAGGAACCTGTTCATGATAAAAGGAATTACTCCTGTCCTACTTACTGCTATTAAGGACCTTTACCTAATAAATTGTTTTTATTTTGAGACAGGGTCTCACTATGCAGCTCAGACTGGCCTTGAACTCACTTTGTAGCCCAGGCTGGTCTCAAAATTACTGTGATCCTCCTCCCTCAGCCTCCCCATTGCTGGGATTACAGGCATGGGCCACCATGCCCAGCTATGCTCTGTGTTTTTAAAAGCAAGACTCTTCCAATGTTGGTAACACACTCCTAGAGTATGTCCTGAGATGCCTTCATGTGATTGCCTTCTCCATTCCTTTCTGTAGAAATTCCTACCAACACTCCATCAAATTCTAGCCCTCACATAACCACCAAAATTAGGCTTGAGAACTCCTTCTCTAGTGCCCCAACCTCGCCAACATGCCTGTGAGAGTCCAATAAGAAAATAGAAACTGTTGATGGATGTTCCTGGCCAGGACTTCGATCCTCTCAAGGCTGTATCCCAAGGATGACAGAAGGGTGGGAGTGGTAACAGCCTCGTATGGTTAGGGAGCAAGTACTCAAGACTGAGGAATTCAACTGGAAAATGAAATCTCCCAGTTCTTTCCTTCACCCCTCTGGAGCCTGGGGAGGCTGCCCCTGGAGCAAACAGGAGCAGAAAAAGAGTTGCCGCCTAGCTGGAGGTTAGCTACCTATTGCTGCACCCCAGCTGCCTACCGCTTGGTGAAGGACAGAGGAATAGCGTCTCCAGAGCTGAAGGAGGCCCAGATGCCTGGCTTGGACTCCTGTCTCTCTCTTGGACTTCCTCCTGTCTCTCTGGCTGCCACTAGAGCCTAGTAAAAACTGAAAGTGTAGCCACCAGTTCCTGACCCTCGCTAGGCCTAGTCCTGAGCCCAGGGTGTGCCAGGAGGAGGGGTGTTGGCCTTAGTGACAAAATCCATTTGGAATTTGTCAAGGTTGTGGTTTGGGGCTAAGTTTGGCACAGAGTGCGTCTGATGAAAGAAGGAAAGCTAGAAAGAAAGGGAGCCAAATGGACTGCAGAGGACAGAAATGGGAAAAAGCTAGTGCTCTTGCTACAGCTCCATTGGAGGGTCTCCTTCCCCTTCCTGAATGAGAACTGTATGGTCAGGGTGTTCTGTCTCATCATTCCCTTTCATATCCTTTTCCAATTCCAGTTGCATCTCTTCTCCTTCACCCCTTTTCTGTATGTATGAGGTTCAGTAAGAATCAGAATTAAGGGCTGGAGAGATAGCTCAGTGGACTAAGCACCTGCTCAGGCAAGCACAGGGACTGAGGTTCCATCACACGCTGCACTGGCCCTGCCCCTGGGCACGGCGAGCCAGCCACCAAGACTGGGCATGGTGGTGCACACCTGTAATCCCAGCGCTGAGGAGGCTGAAAACAAGAGGGTCACTATGAATCTCAGCTGTGTAGTGACACCCTGTACCAAATACATTTTAAAAATAAATCTGAATTAAGAACAGGATATCTATCACCTGACACCAGTACACGTTTAAAGCAAGAAGTCTCAGTGCTCAAGTGGAGATTCAGTACATAAAATGTTGCATTAAAATGCTGCCCTAACCCAGTACATACATGCTTGCGACCAGGGCCAGGGAGACGGCTCAGTAGAATAAGTGCTTGCCTGGCAAGTGCAAGGGCCTGAGTTCAATCCCCCGTTCGCCAAAAAAAAATAAAATCATTGCTACCATGTTGCTCCTCTCATTTCACTTCATTAGAGAATAATTTGGGTAGCAGATAAATCTATTATCCAGAGAAGTGGAATTATTGCAACAACCATGGCTAATCTAAGGTCATGACCTATTAAGTCAGCTTCTTTAAGTCCCTTGGTTATGCAATATTTATAGTTTTAAATTGTGATATAGGCCCTAGCTTTCTAAGGTCAATTAAGACTCAGGACATATGAGAACTTGTACTGTAATGTCATGTAACTCAGTAGTGTCCCAAATTTTCTGATCAAGGAGATTATGGGGCCAAAGAGGAAAGTGATCAATGATGTAGAGTGTGCCTAAGGAGAGTCACATGGAGAGAAAACATTCTCTCAGGCTTTCACAGAGAGCACATTGGCCAAGCAACGGCCGTGACTCATCCACATGGCTGACACTGACAAAGGTTCTATAATCTGAGGTGCAGGATCTCAGGATAAATCCTGAGGGGATTTCACTGACCTTATCAGACCCAAAAGCTACAACTCTTATTGTACAGGTCCTGCTTTACCTTGGTCTTAACCATCCAGCAGAAAAGTATAAAAACAAAATATAAGAAGTAAAGCTATGCTGTTATGTTGAGCTGTAGGGGACTCAGGTCAACAATTTCTGACATTGCCAGTGAAGCGGAAGACCCAATACTATTATGGGCTACTGGACTCTTAGAATATTTTGCCGAGTTAACCTATAATATTCAAATAATTGAACTTAACAAAAAAGGGGATACAGATGAATGTCCATTTTGTATCTGTGTATTCGAAGTGGTTAGGATAGATATATAGTTACATTCTCTTAATGAATAGAGGGATTTGTTCTAATGGTGTTTGTAAATAGGATATCAAGTCCGCATCTTGTACAGCAGTTAACCACTAGGAAGAATGTATGCAATGTGTTAATTATTGAAACTGTCCTACCAATTTGATTTGAAACTGTCTCATTGCTATTTGTTTATCAATAAAATTATGGGAAAAAAATAAAATAAAATAAATGGTGATATAGGCTCTTCCTTTCCAACTTGGACCCAGCAGAATGGCTCCCGCAAAGAAGGGTGGCAAGGAGAATGGCAGTTCTGCCATCAGCGAGGTGGTGACCCGAGGATGCATGATCGGCATTCACAAGTGCATCCACGGAGCAGGCTTCAAGAAGCGCGCCCCTCAGGCACTTACAGAGATCCAGAAGTTTGCCATGAAAAAGAGGGGGACTCCAGACGTGCACATCGACACCAGGCTCAACAAAGCAGCCTGGGCCAAAGGAATAAGCAGTGTTCATATCGTATCTGGGTACGGTTGTCCAGGAAACGGGATGAGGATGAAAAGTCGGCAAACAAGCTGTAAGAGCACATTCATGTGCTTGGCAACCTACATCCCTGTGAGCACGTTCAAAAGTCTCCAGACAGTGAATGTGAACAAGAACTAACTTGGAAATAAAGTTACAGAACTGAAAAAAAAAAAAAAAAAGTTGTGCTATACGGCTTTTAGCATTGAAAGCAGTGAGTCTTGGGAAAGTGAGTATTTTCAAAGATACTGAATTAGGAATAGAGAAGTTGAAACAAAAAATTCTTTTTCTCAGCTTATCTTTTATTTTTATTTATTTTTGAAACAAGTCTTAATTTTTATTGCAGGCTGGCCTTGAACTCACTTTGTAGTCCAGGCTGGCCTTGGACTTCTTGCAATCCTCCTGCCTCAGCTTTCCAAGCACTGGGATCACAGGCCTGTGCCACCACACCCCAATTCAGGTTATCTTTTATTTTTATTTTTATTTTATTTTTTACAGTACTGGGGATCAGTACTGTAATGATCAGTATCATTTATCTTTTTCTTTTAATTTTATTTATGTGTGTGTGTGTGTGTGTGTGTGTGTGTGTGTGTGTGTAGCCAGCTCAGCCCACCAGGGGGCGCGGCTGGCTGGTATGTGGTGCTGGGGGATCGACCCACAGTCCCTGTGCTTTGCTAAGCTTGTTCCAAGTAGGTGCTTTAGACCACTGAGCCATCTCACCAGCCTGTCATTTATCTTTTAAATGATAAATTCATTTAGTAAAATCAGTAAAAATTATTTTACTAAGATTAGGAAGAACAAAATACACATGCAGTAATTCAATTGGAAAACATGATGATTTTGCTGGGTTCCAGAGTGTGGAAAACACCTCTTATTTTGAGCACAGGAATCGTTTTTAACAAGTTTCCTGTTAGTCTTGCATCTACCTGTCTGCCTCCCAAATTCTCTGGTTTGGAGTCAGAGAGAAAAGTATCTACTGTTTTGAGTACATATTAAATGCTGAGATACATTTAAGATTTGAAAAACCTCAGAGCAAATGTGATCTCATAATATAGGCCAAAGAGTCAACAAGCAACTTGCAGAAGACAAATCTATACAAGTTCTATAGTAAATTTTTTGTAAACTAAAGATTTTTTAGGGGCCGGGGAAATAGTTCAGTGGAATAAGTGCTTGCCTGGCAAGCGCAAGGTCCTGAGTTTGATCCCTGGTACCACTAAAAGAAAAAAAAAAAAAAAGATTTTTTGTTGGGGGTGATGGTGGGGTTTTTTTGGTTGGTTTGGTTTGGTTTGGTTTGGTTTGGTTTGGTTTGGTTTGGTATTGGGGATGGAACCTAGAGCCTTCACGCTGACCTACATCACAAGCACCTTTTTTATTTTTGATTAATTGATGATCCTGGGCCTACCAAGTCACTAACATTGCCTAGTTTGGACTCAAACTGGTGATCCTTCTGCCTCAGTCTCCCAAAGTGTTACTTTATAGCCATTTGCCACAACACCAAGGTAGTTGTGTTTGATCTCTAAGAGCAGAGTTCTATAATTACGGCAGAACTGAGTAGTTAGGACAAAGTGCACAATATAGATGGTCTAATATATACATACCATCTAGCCCTTTACAGGAAAAAAAAGAAAGAAAGAAAAGGCCAACTCTTGTTCTAGGCAATGATCAGCATGGTATCTGGAGTAGTTTGGGTAGATAGAGAATAGTTAGGTCCTGTATTTAATTTTTTTTTTTTTTTTTTTTAGATCGTCTTACTGTGTAGTTCAGACTGGCCTGGAACTCACTATATAGGCCAAGCTGGCCTGAACTCAAAGTGGGCAACCCTCCTGCCTCAGCCTCTTGAGTGCTAGGATTGCAGGTGTGTGCCAGCACTCTTAGCTAATACAGCCTACATTTGTTTTTGTTTTTTTTTATATTTATTTATTTATTGTGTGTGTGTGTGTGTGTGTGTGTGTGGCCAGCTCAGCCCACCAGGGGGCGGGGCTGGCTGGCATGTGGTGCTGGGGGATTGAACCGTGGTCCCTGTGGTTTACTAAGCTTGTTCCAAGTAGGTGCTTTAGACCACTGAGCCATCTCACCAGCCCCCACAGCCTACATTTGGGTTTCTAACCTCACTTAGAAGGCCTTCCTGGTTTCACAAACTAAAAGTTTGCCAGTTAAATCACTGAGGATCATTTCAAATCCTTTGTGAAACTCAGCAGGATATATGTAAATAAAGTCATTGAGAATGGGAGATGTTTCACATGGGAATGAAACAGTGGACAAAGGTCCCAGTATGGAACTTCCAGGAAGATGGCAGAGTAGCAAGCAGCAGAGAAACAGGCTCTCCAAGATTTGGCGTCCAGATGCTGGAATACAGCAAGGTGAGGAAGAGAACGAGGGAAATTCGTCCCCAGAGCTCAACAAGGACCTGAAGTGAGAAATGAAGGGCAAAGAGAGTAAAGAGAGACTTCAACACAGAAGGAGGTGGTCAGTGGCACTGTCTCCCTGAGCCTGACTCACCGATAGGAAGGGCTGCTCAAGCCTCTAGACACACAGTGACTCCTGGTAACCCCAGAGGCCTGCATCGAGAAACACACCAGTGGAACACAGTGGACACAGTGGACTGCAGCAGCTGCTGTTATTTGGGAGGGTGATTGACTGGTAACCATCTTGGAGAGGGGTCACCAAAGCTCAGAACTCAGTAGGGGCAGGTTAGCTACTCTTAGCAGCACCCAATGTCAGGAACAGTGTCAGGCAGAACCAAATTCAAGTTGGCAGGAAGTCAAGAAGCCAAGTTCAAGCTGGCAGGGAGCTGAGTTCAAGCCAACAGGAGACACACAGGGCGTCTCAGGCTGATCAGATTGGGTTCTAGCCTCATGGCCCAAAGCCGGGCTGGCCAGGCATGGTGTCTGGGAGTTTTATAATTCCAGCACTTGGGAGTTTTAGGCAGGAGTACCACCATGAGTTCGAGGCTAGCCTGGGCTACATAGTGAGTTTAAGACCAGCACGAACTAAATTGTAGAGCAAGACCTTGTCTCAAAAGCAGAAAAAAAAAAGCAGCCTGAACATCAGTGGAGCTAAAAGTGCAGGCTTGATGAGATTATCCACTGCCCTGCAATGAATTTACAGCTGGCCTGCTGGGATCAGTGACCGTGGGTCTGGACTCTCTGCCCGCTCTGTCTACCAGCAACAGCAGGGACACACCTTGGAATAGACATTTTTTATCTTTCTTTTTCTTGATCTGTTTTTCTAACATTGTTTCTAGTTATTTTGTTGTTCTGTTCTGTTCTGTTCTTGTTTTTATTTCTTTCTTCTTCTTTTGTTGTTGTTGTTGTTGTTGGAAAGATTTTTTCCCCCCCAGAACTGGGGATTGAACTAGGCCCTTGCGCTGGCCAGGCAAGCACTTATTCTACTGAGCCATCTCCCCAGCCTGAAGAATTGTTTTTATTTATTATTATTTTTAATTTGTTGAAAATAGAAATTCAGTCTTTACTTCTAGGACTACCACGGATCACCATGGATCAGTGGACAATGCCCACCTCTCTTATTAAATGCTGTAGAGCCTTGTCCCATTGGCACTGTCCAGAAGCCACACAGAAGCGTCTGGAGTACATGCATGGGACCTTTGCTCAAGGGAAGTCACAAGTGTTGTGCCCCTTGTCACAGGGACCCTAAATTCCTGTTGGGTGTGTTGTAAACAGAGACGCCATTCTCCAGGCTGCCTGCTCTGAGCACACCCACTCCTTCTCTCTTTCCATCCTATCCTCTTCACCAGTTACCCAAGGTTTGCATAATCTTCCTTTGAACTTCAACCTTGCTTCTAATCTTTCCTCCTTCTCCTTTTTCTTCTTCTCCCCTTCTTTCTCCTCCTATTCCTTCTCCTCCTCATTCTTCTCTCTATATTTTCCCCCAACCCCATTTAAAATTTATTTCCTGAGGGTAAAATCACCATACCAAGGACATATTTACTGTGTACAATTTTCTGATTTGTTTTAGATTTTATTACCGCAAATCTAGTTCATATGATTAAAGGTGGCAAATTAATACTTACCAAAGTTTGTTATTTTCTAGCCCATGTTCAATGCTGTGGTTACTGCTGATTTACCACCTTAGCCAGGGTGACATAATTGTTCTAATCAGTTGTTCTTCCTAGTATGCCAAGACTGAGGTTCCCTAAGGGTCATAAAAAATACTATAGACCAGTGCCAAAGAACCAGAGCCTGGGCCAAATAGGCAGTTCATTCCCAATAGACTGACGAGGCAAGATCTTGCAATAGGCTTGAAACCCAAGAGCCAGCTACACCTAGAAGACATCTTTAAGAAGTAGGAATTTCCTAAGTGTTCTCAATACTAGCAATAAATTTGCTTGCAGGCCCAGGGACATAGCTCAGCAGCACAGTGCCTGCCTGGCAAGCATGAGGTTGTGAGTTTGATTCCTGGCACAAAAAAGAAAGAAGAAGAAAGAAAGAAAGAAGAAAGAAAGAAAGAAAGAAAGAAAGAAAGAAAGAAAGAAAGAAAGAAAGAAAGAGGCCAGGGGATGGCTCAGTATAATAAGCACTTCCCTGGCAAGCGCGAGGGCCTGAGTTCAATCCCCGGTTCCACAGAAAGAAAGAAAGAAGAAAGAAGAAAGAAGAAAGAAAGGAAAGAAAGAAAGAAAGAAAGAAGAAAGAAAGAAAGAAAGAAAGAAAGAAAGAAAGAAAGAAAGAAAGAGAAAGAATACTACTTGCCATAAACAATTTATAACCACCAGCCCAAGAATTAATCTTTAAAAAAAAAAAACCTAGAAAAATGAGAAGACACTTAAGCAAGATGTAGTCAGACTTCCAGCTCACCAAATGCACACCCAGGAACATTGAGGTGGAACAATCCAAGATCCCCAGTATTGCTGGCTATAGCACCATCTGCATTCTACCACCAGTCCAGTAACTTAATTTATTTTAGTCACAAGAACAATTAGCAGTACAATAAATTACCCATTTCCTGCTGGAGGAGGAAAAAGGGGGTGCCAAAAGTCTCAGGTGAAACCCTTTTTTGCAGGGTCCCCTTTAGCACCTGAGTGAAAGGAGGTGACTTTCCTAGGGCCTGGGCTCCCTGAAGAACAAAGCCCTCTTCCAGCACCGCTGCCTGTCCCAACAGTGGGGGTCCAGGCTCTGGTGAAGGACTTTGAGGAGGCAAATAGGAAGGGTGGTCTCTTTCCACAGGGTTCAGTGGCTCCGCACAAGGCCTTGGGTTATCCTGCAGGGGAAAAGAGTGGCCACACTACAGAGACTTCCCAGGCAAAGAAGCATGAATCAGGGTCCAAGGGGTTGTGAGGTTTAGAAGAGGAGAGCAATACAGTGCACTTCATCTCAGTCCATTCAGGCATGTGAGGAGCAGAAGTGAGGTGACAGCTTCCCTGAGGGGCTTCCAGCTGTGCAGAGAAAGCTGCAAATCACAGACTCTGTCTAATCTCCACCACCCCAAAGCTGTTTCCAGGTAGGTACCCTGAACACAATTCTGAGCACAGGGCTGAAAAAGTGTCCCTTGCACACAGCCCCCTGCCACAGCCCCAGGGTGAGGCTGATTCTCACTTGCACACATTGACCCATTCTGTGACGCTGCACTCATCACACAGCACGTAGCAGCACCAGTGGAAGCGGCAGTGGCAGCGCCCCACTTGTGTCTTCTGGAGCACGTTGTGCCCACGGCCGCAGCACAGGCTGCCACAGCCATCCAGCAGGTGGCTGGTCTTGTTGCAGGCCCGGCCCCTTGTCCCAGGAGAGCCCACAGCCGGGTTTCGCTCACAGAAGTCAGGAGACTTTTCAAAGTAGACTAGCTCTCCTGACAGGCGACGAGGCCGCAGGCGGGGTTGGAAGGCTCCAGAATTGCGGTTGTGGGTATCAATGAAGACAGCTCGGCCCAGCCGCTCCTTCAGCGCTGACCCCACCACCCGGAACTCGGGGGCCGCCCTCCAGCAGGTCTTGAACTGGCAGCTCCCCGATGTGCCGTGGCACTTGCATTTCCGCTTCAAGTTTTCAGTTACCACCTGGAACATGAGAGGGACAAGAGGTGAAGAGCAGGCAGCAAGTGAGCACAGCACGCCAGAGGGAAAAGTGCAGAGAAATGGGGCCAATCCGAGTGTGAGATGGCGGAGGGCATCGTGAAGAAGTTAATTAACTGACCGACTCCTTCACTTTATGGTTGGAGAACTGCAGCCTGAACACTGTGATTCGCCCGTCTCTGATCACCAGCTGGCAACACGGCCAGTTGTCTGGCCCCCAGTTCAGCGCTCTTTCCAGAGTAAGCACTGATAAAATGGGGACTATGGCCCAAAGTGCCCCCTAAAACCTCTGGAGGAGACAGCTGTAATGACAGCTGCCGTGTCATGCACCAAGGCCTAGGCAGTACATTTTGCTACATTTTGCTAGCTCAGCCTGAATGACTTGTGAGGTAGGTTATCATCAGAGGGTTGTCGTTGTTTTGTTTTGTTTTTTTTCCCACTTTTCTTTCTTTTTTTCTGGCGTGCAGTCCAAGCTGGCCTTAAACTCCCAAGCCTCCTATCTCAGACTTCATCAGTCTCTTTTTATACATGCAAATACCTGAGGCTGGAAGGGTTGCTGACATGAGGGGCAGCCCACCACACCTCATATTACTCTGCTGAACCTCTCAGACCCTAGCCAGGCCTGAGCACCAAGGGAGACCCAGGACAAGACCAAAACACATACCTGGCGCCCCACCCTGTTGTTGTGGATTCGCATTCGTGCCTGGATGTCCCGGGGAGCTTCCCTGGAATCCAAGAAATCCCTAGAGAACTTCTCTCCAAAGTCCATGTCATGATTACAGCCACCCCATTCCCATGTGTCCTGGGGACCAGGGCCAGGACTCAGGCCAGGGACAGGGCTGGGCAGGGAGTGAGGAAAGCTCTTGCCCCGGGACAGTGCCTGGAGTTGCAGGAGTTTGGCCCGCAGCCGATCCTGCTCAGCACCGCCCTTCCAGCCGCAGCCACAGCTCACCAGCTTGCCCAGGCTGCAGGCTGTGGCAACCGCATGCATGACCCCAGCAGCCAGCATGGAGTAGGAGAAAGCACTCTCCCGGAAACCTGGGGTGAAAAGGGCAGGAAGGTGGAGGTAAGGCCCACCTGGCGGGCGAGAAAGAGAAGAGGAAAGAAACAGCCACCCTCCAACACCACAGACTGCACCCTGACTCTGCCATTTAGCAGCTGGGTGGTTAGCAGAAGAGCACAATGCAAGACCACACAGCTGCAGTTTCCTCATCTATCTATAAAGGGAAGCTGATGGGTCTACGTGGTGGCCAAAGCCCTTCCCACCCTGGAAGTCTGTGGTTTTCAGGTGTGGGTACAAGAGCCAGAGCAGAAGTAGAGAGTCCTAGAGTTGCCAGGTGACTATAAAAGAGCCCCTGAGGCTTTTGAGGCTATGTTCCTGGAGTTCTACATCTAAGGACTAAAATCTCCAGTCCTGCAGGAAGCATGGGTGGGGAAGGGGCAGTCCTTTGGGGTTCTTTTTTTTTTTTAATTTTATGTATTTGGTACAGGGTCTCACTATGCAGCTTAGACTTGTAATGATCCTCCTGTTTCAGCCTCCCCAGCCCTAGGATTACAGTGTGCACCAACACGCCTAGTCTTGGTGGCTAGCTCTGTGCACCCAGGCTGGGGATTGCATGAACCAGGTCCTTGCGCTTGCCTAAGCAGGTGCTTAGACTGCTGAGGTATTTCCAAGGCCTCTTTTGGTTTTTTTAACTATTATTTAAATCAGTCTTTTAATCAACCTACTCTCCACCACCAGAACAGAGCACCCCCAAAACACTGGACTTATGGAGCTGCCCTTTTCCAGACTCTAGTTTTACTTTTGCCCTTCAAGCCTGCCCTTTATGTTTATCCAAACCTGCTATTACCTATATAACACTGGGGTGAGGAGTAAGGCAGAAGTGGGGGGATTTTCCCTACAGCCCTCTTAAAAAGTTGGTCTCCTTGTGTCTTCAGGGTCAAGGAGGCTCAAGATGGTCAAGCTTAGACAGAGGTACCCACCCACTATACAGATATCGAAGTGTTCACCCCTGGAGAAGGAGGAGTCCCTTATCTCATGAGGCAGGAGCTCTCTGGAGCCCCGAGAAGATGAAAGACTGCACCTCCTTAGGGCCAGCCTCCTGATCCCCCAACCCCAACCCTTCAGAGGGTGAAGCTGTTTGCACAAGTCCTGGGAATTTCCCTGCAGATGGCAGCTGCCTATTAACCCCATAGTCCCCAAAGCACTGCCCCTACCCCTTGGGCTGAACCCCCTTGGGTCTTTACTCCTCAGGGAGTGAACTCTGGCAGAATATGGGAGAAGCAGTGAAGCCTCCAGACCATCCCAGACCAGGCCAGCAAGGATCTGTTCAGGTCCCTCCAGCTGTTCCTCACCTGCCCAGGTGAGCCACACCTGGGGCCCCCATGGCAGAGGAAGGGGCTGCTCCCCAGCTTCAAAGCCATCAGGGTCTTTGTTCCCAGCTTTGGCTCCTGGGAACCCCAGCAATTAGGGGAGCAGGTTTAACCCTTAAACGGTTGGGGGCGTCACCCCACCCCCGCTGAGACTCTGGGGACATGGGCCTGGGCTTGTTCTGGTGAAGAGGGAGGGGAGAGAAAAATGGGGGGGGGTGTTTGAAGCTTCCAGAGCTGGGGGCATCTCTTGTTCACAGGTGCAATCCAGATCTAGCTGGGTGGAGGCAGAAAAGGGGGCCCCAGGGTAGGGAACAGGACCCAGCTGCCTTGCCAGCAGCGTGCAGGTGGAAGTCAGGCGCAAAAGCTCAGACGGGTGGCCAGGCCCAGCTCAGCACGGTTCTGCGGGGAAATTCCCTGAGCAGCCCCTCCCGAAGCTATGGACCCGTCTCTTCCCGCCTGCGCGCGCCTCGGCCTGCCCCCCAGCCCCTGAGACACGCGGGGCCACAGAGCAACCCCGCCAGGCTCACCACGCTTGAGGATGGCACTGTGGTGCGGCAGCCGGCCGCCGCCCTCGAGTGCCGAGCAGTTCCAGCGCTGGTCGCGCAGCTGGTGCTGGCACTCGTGCACTGCGATGTGCAGACCCTGAAGTGCCGACGCCGTCACGTCTGGGCTGCGCAGGCACAGGCCCAGCTGTCGCTTGCTCAAACCAGACAGCGTCAAGCACACGGTGTTGACCGTCAGTGGTGGCTCGGCCAGCAGCTTCAGGCCCAGAATGTCATTGCTGAGAACCCTGGGGACAGAAGAGGCATCAGGGGTCTGGGGTCCAGTCTCACACCCCCGCATCCCACCCCACCCCCAGACTGGTGCTAGGCTGAAAGACAGAAGAACGGCTCACCGACTGCACGCAGCCAGGAGCAGCAGGGCTGCGAGGCCCCAGGGTGGAGCCCGTCTCCGGGGCTCCTCCAGCATGTCGAAGCCCGGAGGCTCCGCTGGATGGGCGGATCAGCGCCTGTGGGGCAAGAAGACTTGGGGTAGGCTCCAGAATGGGGTGACTCCCGGGGAACTGAAGGACGCCCTACTTCTGGCTTTCAAACCACCGCGGCCCCCGACTGAACCTTCTCATCCCTCTGCAAACAAAGCAGTAAGAATCAACAGGGTCCCGGAGCTCCTGTATCCAGGAGCGCCGTGAAGAGAAAGGGTCCAGGCCTCCCGGGGCTCGGGACTCACTGACCGCCCCGGAGCCCCGCGCAGCCGGACACAACGGGGCCCAGCTCACGCTCACACGCAGCTCCAATACACAGACGCTCCTTCGGACTCACCCACTGCTCCTCTTCCAGGGCCCCAGACTAACTCCCCCGCCCTTGTTCACTAGGGGCGGGAGTGGGAGGGGGTTCCCCGCTACCTGGGGCGGTGTCATCTCCAGGTGCCTGCTGTGGCAGGCAAGTCCTGTCAGAGGGTCCCAGACCGGGCTTTCTCTGCGCTCTCCCCCACCTGCTCAGCAGGGAAAGAGGAGAGGCTCCACGTGCCGGCCCAGGGAAGCTGAGTGGCCTCCCACAAGCAGGCACTGGGGCGCAACCGAGTCTCTTCCTCGTCCCCCCCCCCCGCCACTTTCCTAACTGTACGTTCCACTCCTCCAAAAGCAGCCACTTTGCATTTTATTTATTTATTTACGTACCCGGAATCGAACTCAGGATCTCGCGCTAGTGCCGCTGAGCCACTTGTTCCCACCGAAGTGTCCCCTAAATCTTGAGGCACGATTTTATTCTCTATCTTGACTCTAGCGGGTGGATGCCTGACTGTCTGTCTGTCCCCGGGGCGCGGGCCCCTGCCTTCCCTGCTTCCGGGGTCAGATTACCTCCAGCGGTTCGAACGCAGGGTCCGCACCCCGCAAGGCTGGGTCGCCCCGGCTCTGCTCTTGCTGCTTAAACCACGGGGAGACCGAGTCGCGCCCAGCACAGCCGCATTCTTCCAGGGCCAGGGGCCGAAGCCGTGGGAGGAGGAGGAGGAGGAGGAGGAGGAAGAGAGAGCGAGCGCCCGGCGACCGTAAGCAGGCTCTGGAGCCCGGGCTGCCGGCGCAGAGCTCACGGCCTCTGCAGCGCTGACGGAGCTGCGGCCCCTCCCCGAGCCCCGGGCATCCCCACCCCAGCCCCGCACCCCTCCTGGGCTGGGGAGCGCAGCCGCTCCCCCTGCTTGCAGCCTGCACACACCCTTTCCCCCGACGCCAGGCTTGGGGCTCGGCCCCTCGGAAGGGGGAGGTGGCCCAATTCCTCTCACCTGCTCTGGGGTCCTCCGGGCTGCAGGGAAGCCAGGACCTGGCCCAAGGGGCCAAACAGCTCATCACTTCTCTGCTCAGCGCCTCCGCCGAGGACGCGTGGCCGGAGCGGACGGAGTGGCAGTCGCTGGCGGAGCCCACCGCGAGCGCTTGGCAGGGCGCTCGCTGCCTACGGAGAGGCGCCCCCACCTCCAAGGAGCGCCCCGAGCTGCCCCTCGCCCGGGCTTAGCCTTGGCCTCAGACTCCAGTCGTTACCAGGAGCCTCCCGTCACCCCAAGATCTCACCCCGCCCTCACAATTGCCTTGCCTTGCGGCCACCCTTCCCCACGGAGGTCTCCGGCCCTTCCTGCGACTCCTGGGCTTTCGCTCCTCCGGCGCGCAGACTCGTTTCGCCTGGGCTGGGGAGGGCCTAAGGACTCCCACACTGCGCCTAGCTCGGGAGCAGCCCGGAAGGAACCTGGCCGTGGGGTGCACGGGCAGGCGGAGACAAAATGCGTTGGGGGCTCCAGTGGCAGCGAAGGGGTTAGGCGCCACCGCACTCCTGCCTGACTCACTCTCCCAGCTCTAACCGCTGCGGACTATTTTTGCCAGAGAGGGGCCCAGGCTTCCCAACCGCCCCCAGCCCCTGCCAGACCGCAGCCCAGGCACGGTTGGTCCCGCGCACCCGAGATGCCTTGACTCAGAGATCGCCCCCAGTAAGCAAAAGCGTGGGGCTGACACCCAGAGCCACACTCACCTCTTCCTCTGCGCAGCAACCCGCCGACCCTCTGTGCTGTTGCAGGGCCTGCCTTGTGCTGAAGGGGGCGCTGCTGGTCGGGGCGCAGCAGTCGCAGACGGATGGGCAAGTACAGGGAACCACCGTCACGCGCCGCTCCCCTAACTGGCTAGCGAGCGGAAAGTGCCATGGACACTGACCCTAGAAAGCCTGGACCAGAGAGTTGCTTTTCTCAGATTCCTACTTCAGGTTGTGGAGAGGGAACCCAAGAGCTCCTGCCTCCCCTCCCCATTTAGAGGACAACAACCAAACCACACTTTGGGGCCACCATAATCTGCAAGCCCTATCCCAGGGGTTTTCCTCCTGACACCTGGACTCAGTGATCACCAGTGTCCTTGTCCTTCCTACGTGTCTGCCCAGAATTGCATCCAGGTCCCCGCAGGACACGATGAGTTTAGCTCTGGCCCTTTTTCCCACAGAAAACTCATGGGCATTTGTATTTCTCTGTGGGTCTGGCCTCCTGCAGGTTTTGGGTTTGTTTTTTATCTTGTTCTGATTCTGTCCCCAGACTTCAGCATATAGTCAGGTGTCCAGAAGAGGCTGGGGTCAGAGCTTATGCCATATGTTTTAATTACTCAGTGCCCCCAGAGTTCCCCACACTGGACTTTTCCAAGCCCAAGAGCCTGAGCTCCTGCTCCATCACCCTGAACCCTAGCACTGAAATAGGAGGCCACAGGCAGGCAGACTGGGTGGCCTGAGCTGGCCCGCAGTGCCCTCAGCCCGACCGGCTGGCCTGAGGACTGACCCGCAGGCAGCCAGAGGGCCGCAGGACAGGCGGGGCCTGGAGAAGGCTGCGGTGCACACCCATTGCCTCATACCCCAAGCACGCGGCCAGCTCCAGGAGAGGGGCGGGCCAGGAACCAGAGAGACCTTGACCAGGGTTTGGGCCACAACAAGAGGGGAAAAGTGGGGGCTGTCATCACCACAGAGAGGGAGTGGGAATAAGCGGGACCCCCTTGCATGGGCTGAGAAGAGTGGAAGGCTTTTTCTTGCCATCATGGGGGTGGAGAGTGTACTGAGAACAATATGGGCAGAACAGTGGGTCCTAGAGGGCGGGAGTCAAAGAGTGGAGCCCCTGGAGATTGGGGGATCAAGCAACTGAGGCGTTGGTGAAGCCTTGGGAACAACCTCCCCCATGTTTGCTTTGGCGCGGGGTCTTGGGTGACTCATCTGCTGCTAAGCTGCTGATAGGGGCGGCGAGGCCCGGGGAACCCAAATTATAGGCCCGGGAGGGATGGATGCGCCTGTGGTGGTGAGCTCAGCTGCTGCCTACCCTACACCTCACACGCCTCTGCTGCAGCACCAAGGGCCACCGCCCGGAGGCACCAAAGCTCTGTGCCAACCTTGCAGGACTTACAGGAAGCCCCCCCACACTTAGCAGTTGGCCCCAACAAACCTTTAGGCTTATCCTCACAGGATTTTACTTCTTTCTGTACTCGGGATTGATGGGCAAGCCAAGCCTCCCCAGCCCAAGGGATGGTGCAGCCTGCTGTGGGCACTGGGAAGGAAGCAGGGTCCTCGGCCCAACTCTCGGTGCCCCTACTTCCTCCCAGATTCCAAGGTCAGAGCAAAGCACCTTTTCCCTCTGATGTGTCTCCCCATCCCTGTTCTGGAGGGTGATTTGCTCCTGATTTTCTACTTTATGCCTTAGGAGTTATCTGTGGTCAAAATGATACAGAGAAAAATGAAGCAGGGTAAAGGAGACTGGGAGTGGAGCTCTAATTTATAAAGGAGAAAGGGGGGAAAATGAAGGAGAAAGGCATAGAAGGGCACTCCAGAAGTGGAAACACAGTGCTGACCCCGAGAAGGGAGCTTGCTCAGTCTGTTCAAAGGATTGCCAAGGAGGCCAGTGTAGAGGAGGAAGCCACGGGGAAAGACTGGTAGATGATGAAACTGGAAGGTTAGGAAGAAAGGAGAGTCAGATCCTATGGGGCCTTTATTTATTTATTTATTTATTTATTTATTTATTTATTTATTTATTGGTGCCAAGGATCGAACTCAAGACCTTATGCTTGCCAGGAAGGTACTTGTGCTACTGAGCTATCTCTCTGGCTTTCTATGGGACTTTTCAAACCACTGTAAAGAGTTCTGTTTCATTTTTGTTTGCTTGAATTTTGAAACTGGGTCTCACTATGTAGCCTAGGCTGTCCTTGAACTCATGGTAAGCCTCCTGCCTCAGCCTTCCAAATGCTGGGATACCAGGCATACACCACCACGCCCAGTTGTTTTTCTTTGTCTTCAGATGGAGTCTTGCTGCTGTGTGTAGGCTGGCTTTAAACTCACTCTGCAGCACAAACTGGAATTAAATTATTTTTCATTTTCCCCCTACTCCCCACCCACAACCTGGCATTGAATTTTTCATCTTCTGCCTGAGCTTCCTGAGTAGATCACGTTAGGCCAGGCTTACAGGTATATACCACCACGCCCCACCTGACTTCCTTTTAACAAGGATGACACTGGCTGCTATGTGAAAAACAGACGTGGGGTGGGGTGGATTAAATGTAGAAGCTGGGAGAGTTGTTAGACTACTGCAGGAATGGATGGAAACTCGAAGAGTTACTTAGATACTGAAATGAGAAATAGTTTTAAAATTTTTGTCTTTTTTTTTGGGGGGGGTGGATCCAGGGATTGAACTCAGGCCCTTGCACTTGCCAGACAAGTGCTTATTCTACCGAGCCATCTCCCTGACCTCTGTCTTTTGATTTTTTGAGACAAAGTCTCAATATGTAGTTTGGGGTGGCCTTGGACTTACTGTGTAGTCCAGGCTGGCCTGGAACTTGCAGGGATCCTCCTGCCCCAGCCTCCCAAATGCTGGGGTTACAGGTGTGCGCCACCACATCCAGCTCCACTTTGTTTTGTATGATGCGAGGAGTCTTGAATTATGAAGTGCTGTTCCTCAGGAAGTGACAAGAACTTGAAAGTCACTGGGTCAAGTAAATGAAAGACATGCTGTCTGTGCTGAGGGTACTACTGTAAGTGCAAGTGGGCCGAGAAAAGCAGAAAAGCCACAGCAGGAGGCTGGCTGGCTGGGGGCAGGCGGGATGATGGCTGCTGGCACATGCCTGTAATCCAGCACCCAGCAGGCTTCGGGAGGATTGTGGTGAATTTGAATCCTGCTTGGGCTGCATAGTGAGTTCAAGGCCAACTGAACTGCATGGTGAGACTCTGTCAAAAAAAAAAAAAAAAATTAACAAGGAGCAGGAGAGTGTTGAAGTGGATCAGAGTGTGTGTATGTTATAAAGACTGAGGGACAGGATTTGTGATAGTTTGACCTGGAGTTTAAAACAGATGAGTCAGGGCTGGGGAGACAGCTCAGCTGCATAAGCACCTGCAAACTCCTAAGTTTGATCCCAGGTACAAAAAAAAAAAGAGTCAAGGATGACCCCAAGAGTCTCATCCCAGGCAGCCAAAGCACAGAGCTATCATTTACTGAAATGGAAAGGACCAAAGTATATGGGGGGGGGGGCGTGAGTCAGAGCCCTGAGGGATCAAGAGTTTACATTTCAGGCCAGCATTTTTTTTCTTTTTAGTGAAACCAGGGATTGAACTCAGGCCCTTGCACTTACCAGGCAAGCACTTATTCTACTGAGCTATCTCCCCGGCCCCATGGTGCAGCCTTTTAGTGATTTACCAAGACCCTGTCTCAAAATAAAATTCCCTGAATTTTAATTTATTTTTGTTAATTTTTTAATTAATTTTAATGATTTTTTAAAATTTAAATGTATGTATTTGGTGCAAGATCTCACTCTGTAGCTCTGAGGATGGGCTGGCATAGCATGTGGTGCCAGGGATTGAACCCAGTCCTTGGGCTTGCCAGGTCAGCACTTAGACCACTGAGCTATTTCTGTGAGCTCT